TCGCATCAAAGACTATTTTATTTAGAAAACAGTTGGCAACGCATCCAGATAAACTTCCCGTATCAACTTCACCCATTTCCAGTAATTTAGGGTTGATCTTAGTCACAGGTCGGCTTAGCACAAATCAAAAGTCCTCCCTTCGAGACAAAGCCAATTCAAGAAACTCTTCCAACCAAATTTGTCTTTGGATTAACATTCGTGTCAAAATCTATGGGAATGCCTAAGCTGTGAAGTATAAGCGAATTCGTTCCCAAAGGTCATGGCTCAGACATTGCGAAATAGGCAATTACCACCATGAGATGAGCTGGCAGATAAAAAAAGCATACCTGTACAAATACTGGTTCTACCCCATACGTCTCGAATTGGGAAGCCCGTTCCAGAAACATCGCCTCTGCCTCCGACGGTTTGTGACCCCTTTTTAATCAAGAGAGACACAATACAATTAATCAGAATGAATATCACTACATTATTAATATTAGTTTTATTTTTATTGATTAGATTATGGAAATTTTTCCTTTGCACAATTCAGAACTTCGGTTACGCCCGAGAACTAGAAAAAGGGCCAGTCTTAATTATGCAGCTTGTGGGGTAAAAACGTACGCTAATGTCTTATGGTAGTCCCGGATCTTGGCTTCAACACGTGGTGTCATGTTTGCGAACATCTTCAGTTCGTCCAGAGAGCCCTCTTCGCCGAGGAATTGAGTAAGGTTGTCGTAGTCCCCGATCTCAGCTAAAGCAGAAGAGAGGTAAAATAAGGGAATGAAATGAAAATCAAAATGTACCACATTATCACACACGCCGACTCATACTAGAGTGACATGGTGCATGATATTTCGCATTACACACATCCATACACACACACACACACATACGGGCAAAAGCCTCCACACTTTTGTGTATTTTAATATAATTTAGAAAGTTGGGCATATTGCGCAACTTAAAAGCACATCAACAAATAATGCAATAGATTAATTGAAATTATTTACTGAAATATAGCGTTTAGGCTAAAGCTAAACAGTGTCTTGTATTACCGATTATTTGTGCCCTATGATGTATGGCTGATGAAATGTTCGCAACATAAGTTACTTGTACGTGGAATAACATTATCCTAGTTCGAATCATGTCAGAGGCAAGCAAGATAGAGCCGATTCTACGAGGCATCCAGATCAAATAAATAATCCCACCCGAATAAACAGTGGACAACTGCAGCACACACGAAGTGTAAGTAGAACAAAAATAGAT